GAAGATGTCCAGGAGGGGAGCCGCTGATCCAGCACATGTGCCTACACACGTGTGCACACGTGTGTGCTCCTGGTGTTTGCAAGTATATAGTTTTGAAGTAGATTTTCCGGTGAAGATGTCTAAAACAGATCTTGAAGGAGAAATGGAAGTTAGACAATGGTAGGAAAGGGGTTCCACTCTAGCTAAGAGGAGATGGTATTTTAAGAGCTATATAAGTGACTTCGTTAATGTGAGCTACTGTTACCTGGAGTGTAGTGATGGATGAATCTGGAGAAACTGGCAATGCTCTTGTGTTTCATGCCAAGGGGTTTATTTGAGGAAAGGAAGAAAGGAAAGGAGGAAGGAAGGATAACAGGTAGTATTGAAGAAAAGGAAAGAATCTAAGATTTATTCTCTGCTTGTGCCTGGTACTATAAAGCACTGGTGATTTTCATGAGTCCATTATGTCTTTTAATGTTTAACCTCTGAACTCAGTTTCTTCATTTATGAAAAAGCAGTACCCTTCCAACATAGAGAAGTTGTGATGGTCAAAGAGATACTGACTCAAGGTGCTCAGCACAGTTCCTGGCACATTCTCAGTGCACTAAACAGTAGTCATTGTTCCTGCAATGAGGGCAGAGGTTGGATTGCAAGAGGAGAGACCTGCAGCAGGAGAGAAGCTGTAATGAAATGAGAGCCAGTGGTGCCTGAACTGGAGTGGAGAGATGACAACTGATGTGAGAGATACCTAGGGAAGCAGAATCAGCGGCTGGTGACTGAGGATGTGCAGGGGTGAAGGAGTGGAGAGTCAAAATGCCTTCCTGGTTTCTGGCTGGGTGCATGGGGTCCCTCCATTGTGATGACACAGAGGAAGGGCCACGGACAGTGTCCACAAAGTGCAAGACCATGCAGCATCCAAACCCAAGCCAGTCCTTGAGTTATGAGAAAGAGTATGAATCTTGCTTCTTTGTGTTCTAGCCAAAGCAATAAAATACATTCCCAATACCAATACTGCAATTTAAATTTATTATCTTTGTGCTTTACAGTATCCATCGCAGTAAAATCTATTCCCAAGAGTATCATTACAATTTCCAAGTACTTAAGGAATTCTTTTTGTTTATGTTTTAAAGCCATAGCAATAAAATTTAACACCAACAATACTGCTACAGCTTCGTATGCTCTTAAAACTTGCCATAAATGATAATTGTGAGGAGAATGTCAGTAAACGTGCAAATGTTTTTCTAGAAGAGAGCAGCCTTTTTTTTTGTTTGTCTCATGCTGAGGCCCAGTTCTTAACAGGGTATTGAGAACACATTCACCTTTCCAGTTAGTCAACAAGTCTTATTGAGCCTGTCTCCTAAGTATTCCTCAAATTTGACCATTTCTCTCTGTCCACACAGTCCGCGAAGCTGTGTGCCATGCTGTAATCCTGGGAGCTATTGTCCCCTGCCTGGGAAACGAACACAGTATCTCATCCACGTTCCCACCCTTCAATCAGTTCTCCACATAGCAGCTTAAGTAAAGTTTTCACAGCACACATTTTGCCAGTCTCCAGGACAAGATGGGGGATAGAAAGCAAGTAATATGATACTGGAAAGAAGCAGCCAGCCAAATGCAGAATGTGGGACATGGAGCAGGATGAATGACCTGGTGTCTCCCACCAACCATTGGCACCAGAGAGAGAAGAAGACAGGAGGAGACTGTGATGGGATGGAAGAGTGTAAGAACCATCAACTAGAGACCAAGTATGATCGGTGGGCTTTGTGTGGCTCCCGATTCCAACAAGCAAAGGTACGCAGCCATTTCCCAGAAAATCAGGACAATCCGATGGTGGCGTGGCTACTAGATGATACAACCTGCTGGTAATTTTGTTGGCAGGTGTTTATGTTCTTAAAGCAAAGGCTTCATCGGTTAGAGGTGCATTCTTGGGTATTTACAGAGGAAATGACATGGCTTACATTTGTTTTAAAATACCGCAGCCCTCTACTTCCCCAAAGTGGATGGGTGGTGGGGATAGAAGAGAATCAAAATTGCCAAAATGTTGATCATTGTTGAAGCTGGGGGTGGGTCCGTGGGGATTCATTATGTCTTCTACTTTTTTCCTGTCTACTGGAAAACGAGCACAATTCAAAGTAAAAAAAAAAAAAATCCAGAGAATAGTCCAGGGGAAGTGTTTGTTCTCTTTAATAGTAACGGATTTATTCAACAAACATGCTTTTTCATCACCCACTTTGTTTGAACGTATTTTTGACTGAGCACCTACCTCATGCAAAAATGAGTAAGACACAGCCTCTGACCCCCAGAAGCTTACCACCTGGTAGGGAAGGAGAGACCTGCATTTGTGAAAAGGTCACTAATACTAGTACTTAAACTAATTCTAGTACTAATACTAATACTAAGAGCTAAATCGACAATATGCAAAACAGCCAAAAGCTATCACAAAAAAATTCGAGGTAGAGAGCCCTCTACTTTGGTACGGTAGCATGGTAGGCTACTTTTGGAATATATTAGTAGAAAAAAATAAAAATCTCTAGTCTGATTTGCTTTTATTCACCTAAAAAGGTCAAGAAGGACACAGAAGCAACTACAAAGAATTGATACCTATTTAGGAGAGAGGCAAACTCTTAGGTGGTCCAGCAAAGACCTTTTGCTGAATATCTTTTCACATTTCTGGTTTCGAAGACATGTAAATGTGTGGCATAGCCCAAAGTTTAAAATAAAAGGGAAAACATGCTCTCATCGCCTCCCCATATCAGAGCATGTCCCTCCTCTATTTAAAACCCCTTATCAGGTCCTATTATCCTTGGTATGTAACACACAGTCCTTTGGGTGGCTTTTCAGGATGGCCAGCATCTGGCTTCTGTGTCCTCTCACCTCGTGCCTGTCACCCGGGGCTCTGCAGCTTCTCAGCTCAGCAAGCTCTTCGCGCTGCCTGGCTTGTGCCCCCTCTGCCTGGCCTGACCAACCCCATTCAGCCACTGGCTTTAAGTCCCTCTGCTGTATGCTCCCAAAGAACCCATACTCCCCTATTTTAGTAAGGTCACTGTCAAATCTGTAATTGTCTGACTTGATCTTTTTTACTCATCTGTAAACCATGAGAGGACAACCACGTCTCATTTTCTCTTCCGTTCCTCACCTACTTCCAAGCCTCACGATTGACGGGAATTTAATATAGACCATTTAAATGAGGGGGCCAGGGTTCCAGAAAAGAAAGAGATGATCAATTTGCATGTGAACGATGGATAGAATGCAGGAGTCAATAGTTTACAGGAGAAGTGAAGGAAAGCGAAGAGAAATGATCAGACAGGAAGTGGCGTTAGGACCAGGAGTGAACAGGACACTATGCAAAGCAGAGGCCTTCCTGGGGTGGGTGCAAATGGGAGGCAGGCGTATGTCCTGGTGAGAAGACAGTTGTGGGGAAGAAATGGACGAAGGGAAAAGAAAAAGGAGAAGGAAACATCGAGGGCAGGCTTGCTCGCCAGTTGTCTGTCCATGCTTCAGGACGTCTGCACAAAAACTTCCTTGGAGATCTTCACATGCATATTTTTTCTTTCTGAGTAAACTTCCTAGTTTTTTTGAGGATTCGAAAGTGTGTCGATTTAAGAAGAACTAAAGGTCTTGTCGGTCTTTTCAGCCTTAGACCAACCACACGAGCCAAGGAGAAGAGAAAGGCCTGGCACCATGTGACACGGGGGAGAAGGAGGTGACGTGAGAAGCTTTTTGTAGAAACAGCAGCAGCGAATGGAGGTGGGTGGGGAGTGGAGTCAGGGAAGGTCATGGAAGGTCATTGAAACCCCGGGGAGGAGCCCTGTCACCGCCCGGATTGCGAGCACATCATTTGCTTCCTCGAACCTCATTTTCACTATGAGGGAGAAGGAAGGGTGGGTGAGCACCACAAAAATACCTTCTCGTCTACCGCACAAGGGTGTCAGGAGGGGATAAGATGGACTGCTAACATCTGGAAAGTTGTGGGTTTTTTTTTTCCTTTCTTCATGCAATTTCCATTAAATTTCATGTAAAAATAACTATGGTCCCACTGAGTAGGAAGAGGAGGCCCCTACTACCATTTGGGACTTTAGCCCCTCACTGACCTTCCGGAACCAGGAAAAGAGATTTACAGCATCTCCCCAACGACAGAGGCTCATCCCATGTAGTTTGTGTCTTGTCAGTTTGGAGTAGGCTCTGCTTCTCTTCTGTAATGTTCTGAGCTTGGGATTCCCCTCCGGTCCTCACTCTCCAGCAGCAGGTTTATGCAGTGGGCACCCTTGGGCCCTTGGGCCAGCCTGGCCTCTCGCCCCGCTCTGCCGCTTGCTGGCTGGGGACCCTGAGCCCATGACTTCACCTCTGGGTCTCGGGCTTCTCAGCTGTACCATGGGGAGAATCCCAGTTGTCCTGAGCTCATGGGACGGTGTAGGATTATCTGGTGTCATATGCATGAAGCCTCAGGGGAGCACCTGCCAACAAAAGCTGCTCACTAGTAGGCTGGGCAGAGGGACATTCTGAGCGAGGAGAACCACCGGAGCATCCCCCCTAAGGAATAGATGACTTCCTCAGAGAGCTTGGAAATCCGAGGGAAGGGGTGCCCCTCCCGTATGACAGGAGATGGGTCAGCCTCATTGGGGCCCCTCACCGACCTCACCCTCAATAACTTCTCTAGAGCTGCTCAGAGGCAGGGAATGGCTGCTCATCCGTGGGGAAGGGACGTTTTGTCCAGTGCTCCTCCTGTCTTCAGGGGCTGGGAAACTGCACTGTCTTTTCAAAGCCCCTGAGTCAGAGCCAGGAGATGGGGTGTCCTTCCCATTCTACCGCCTCATCCTTCTAATTCTGGACAAGTTCCTTTCCACCCCTGCGCCTTCGGTCTTCGCTTCTAACCTGAATATACAGGCTGTTGGGGAGATGCATTAGCCTCTTAGGGCTGCCATACAAAGTACCACGGGCTGAGGGCTGAAACAACAGAATTTATCTTCTCACGGTTCTGGAGCCTGGATGGCTGACGTCAGGTGTTTGCAGGGGTGGTTTCTCCTGAGGCCTCTCTCCTTGGCGTGTAGATGGCTGCCTTCTCCCTGTGTCTTCACATGGTCTTCTTCCCTCAGTCCGTGTCCTCATTTCCTTTTCTAGAAGGACACCAGTCAGATGGATATGTGGCTTATGAAGGGGACGGGCCTGCTGCTCTGACTTGGCGGAACTGGCAATTGGGATTTATTTTTTTCTATTTCACAGCACACCGTCCTGATGTTCTATGCCTGTCTACCGCTGGCAAGGGGCAAATAAGTGGAGAGCTAAGAATTTATTTATTTATTTATTTGGGCTATCATGCTATTAAGTGGAAAATAGACTCGGTAAATCTCCTCAGGCCACATATTGTCAGGGGTTCTAGGACATCCTCTCTGTTGTATGGGTTTTGCTCTTACTGGTCACATGCCCTGTGTCACTGGAGCACAAGATCACCCTTGTCCTTTCAGGAAGAAAGGCACATCTGTCCTGAGCCACTGGGTTGCTTGCACGATCTTACACAATAGCCTTTCAGTATTTCTTCAATTCGACAAAATCAAGCAAAAGCAGCACACCAACAGCCGTAAAAATGAAGAAAGAGGGAGAAAGAGCTACTTGGTTCCAAAGATAAGAAAAGTAAAAAGCTCTCTTGAAAATCCCACGGCCAGGCCCACCCCTGTCTGCTTTCAGAGCTGCACAGCTCTGGCTACGGGGCCTTTCCTCTGTCTTCTCTCTGCTTGTGTTCAGCCTTATGTATCCCACAGATGCCATCACCGGTTGTGCATTCCTCTGAGTGGTGCTCTGCTGGCTCCCTGTCACTCAAAATGTCCCTCTGGCCAGGGTTAATGACTGCGAGCAAGGACTTGCTAGTGGGCACCTACCTTTCTTCTGGGGAGAAGTAGACAGTGGCTCTCAAGCCCATGTATGGTCACCTGCTACCTTTGACCCTCCAAGGCCTCTACCTCTGACCGCCTCTGCTCTCCTGGTTAATGGCAATTATAAATGTCCAAGAGGCACACCTCTGAGGCACATGGCCTCAGCTAATTGGGCAAAATGATTAAATTTTTTCTTCATTACACAGCAATGTATATTCCAAGAGCATAAATAATGAATTTAAGAAAAAAAATTAAGAATGAAACTTAATGGAGGTTCAAAAGAAAATATTTAATTCTGGATTTGGGGTGGGGGGGAAATTCTGGTTGCAATTTTGGATATTTTTTGATGGATGGATTTGCTTCAGGTGGGGGATGGCGAAGACCTAAGTGTGTGGGGCGGGGGAGGGCCAACTACAGCTGCAGTGCAGAGAGGCCAGATGGCTTGCAAGGATGGAGCGAAAGTTCAGGAAATTCTAGTCACAGGAAATCCTCACAGAGCTTTCAGAGAGGGGGCAGACATGCTGGGAATTCTGGGAGTTGTGGCACTCACTAATAACATCTAGAAATGATTGTGGGACATCCTTGCCTACAATACAGGTCTACAGGGCAATGCAGTCTCAGTGTCTGGGACAAGCAAACAAAAAATATATATACTATGCAGATGTATATAAATTTTATACATTTATATCTATGATTTATATATATTACACATTTTTTAAATCCATGCTTATTAGAATAAAATCAAATGGGGAGAAGGGTGGCCCACCACCAGTTTTCCCAGTCTCCATCCATGGTCAACTTTTCATGTTGTTATGGTAACAACTCCGTGGCGGCCCATCTGGGAAGGGAAAGGCTTCCTGAAGCGATGGGCAGTGCCCAGCTCAGGCCAAGGCATCCTCTCTACCTCCTGTGGAATTTGGGCACCAATGAAAGATGAGGTTGCCCCTTTACTCAAGCTGCAGCCAAGTGCTCTCTCCTGGAGCTATGACTTTCTCTTTTAAACAACACGAGATCACCGTAAATGGCCATGTGGTCACTGTCAAAAGATGTTGGAATATTCATGCAGGTTTCTTGGAAAGGATCTCATAGCACTCTTGTTTACTAGCCTGCAAGATGCTTCTGGGTGAGTGTGTGTGTGTGTAGGAAGGTGGGATGGTGGGAATAGGCTGGAAGGAAGGCATCCTCTTCTTTTTATCTTCTTTTTTTTAAAAAGCAGAGGCACTGAGAGTGTGACGTGCCCATCATCTCCCACAGAAAGAATCCATGTAGCAACTCGTGCCTAAGTGCTCTCTGGCGGGGGGCATAAGGCGTGATGAGAGGGGCTGGTCCTGCTCTCGTGCTGAGTGTGCTGAGGCTGGTAGGCAGGAATTTGAGAGGAGGACAGGCAGAGGGAGAGGTGCTGTCATGCTAGGAGGTCTGGCTCACTAGCTCTCTCCGACTACCTATTGGCTTCCTGCCTAACCCGGGGTCATCCTCAAGCTTGAATCCAGTTCTCCTTATTTGGTGACCTTATCTGACCTTAATTCCATAGCTACGTGCAATACCACGATACTTGAAGTTTCATATGAAGACAAAGGAGCTTCCCCGTGGCGGTGGTGGTCCGTGGAGTGAGGTCCCAGGAGGGAGGTGTCACCTCCTCCATGGCTCTTTGTGCCGGCCTGCTTTGGCTATTGTCACACAGGAGGGGGATTAGGGGACAAGAAGAATTCCTGCCAGGCATGAGGTACTGAAGGAATTCCATTTACTGTCCCTGCCCCCAACTACTTTGTGTGTTTTAGAGCAATACTGAACTTCCTGCTATTTGGGTCTGTTTCTGGTCTTGAAGAGGAATCAATAACTATGACCCCCAAAGTCTCTGTTAAAAAGAAAACACACCAGGACAAAGCCGTCTATTTTTTATTTGTTGGCAGCGTTTCCCTTCCCCCGTAGCACAGGTTTGTTGACTGTCTCACTTGGTGAGTTGAGTTGGCGCAGGTAGTTCCTTGAGCTGCTGGAATCAGCCTTACCGCCCCCCCCCCCCCCCCCGCCATGTCTATTTGCTCCCAGGGAGTGCTACAGAACACACCGAGGATGAGAAAAACCCACAGATGGGCCTCCAGCGTGCGGCAGTCCATGGTGGTTTGGGAACACAGGAGACTGCCTTGCCAGTAAGTGGCGGTGTCCTGGGGTATGATGGGTGTGTGTGAGACCCACGTGGCAGGGAGCAGAGAGGATGAGGACAACCAATGACAGCATTCCAGATCACATGCTCTAAAGAGCTCCTG